AGTATGGTTATTTTATGCTGCGGAACAAATTATATGTTTTAACATGTATTTCTATGGAAAAATGTGTTTCGTATAACGGACTTTTCACTTAATGGACGTGCACCTGGAACGAATTAAGTACGTTATATGAGGCACCACTGTAATCCGTTCAAACACGAAAAAAACACTCAAATTAAAGCTAAGTAGTACATTAAAAAATAACAACTATAGTAAGGAAAACACTGAAAAATGCATTTTGTGGTTGTAAATGTATAAATAACCATAATAGAATAATTGATTAAGAAAAATGTAGTTTTATTTGCACTTTACCTTTGAGAATAGACAACGGCGGAGGTGTAAACTGGTGGCGGAGGAAAGGGAGAAGGAAAATGATACTAAAACTTAACTTACATAACATAATGTAACAATAGCTTAAAAATAACTTAACACTAAATTTTTTTATCTTTTCTGTTTTATATATTTTTTAAAAATTTTTATTCACTGCTTTTTGCTTTCTTTCCTTCACTTCCACCAGCACTTTCACTGGATAGAGGTCGCTTGGTAAAATATCTATCCATAGAGGTTTGGCTTTGCCTACTTTTTAAAATGTTTCTAAAATGACTTAGGCAAATGTCATTACTCCGAGCAGCAATACGGCCAGTGTGAACCTTTTTGGAATGTTTCTTTTCAATAAAATCAGTCACTTTCTGATAATACCTCAAGATTTCCTTTATCGAGTGAGATCCTTCCACGACGAAGCAAACACACAGACTGAGACCGATGAACAGAAGTGAATTAAAAAATGGCACTACAAACTAATGTAACGTCGTGTGGTGAGTTTTTGTTTGTATCGTGGAGCAAAAAAATGTTTGAATTTCATGTCATATCCTGAAAATTTCATATGCTGGGTCGTTCGTATCCTGGGGTACCACTGTACATACATATTAAAGATCTATCTGTTATTCTCCATCATTATTCTTTACACCAAGCTGAGTTAAAAGTTTTGCACATTGTCTATACATTTTATTCCTAGGTTATCTTTATAGTTCATTTCACTGTTTAATTAAGGAGATTCTACCAATAGTCCCACTGCATCTTTAAGAATTCTATCAATAATTACAAGGTAATTATTGATAGATTACCTTGTACAGTTTGAGAACAATCTGACATTTACATGATTCCTATCTTCTAACTTGCCCACACTCTCCCACAGTTATGTAAATGCTATTTGTAAGAAAGCCTTTGCTGATGGAGATTTGGTGTTCATTTACATGAACATCAAATCTCCATCAGCAAAGGCTTTCCACATACAGAGCTGACAAAATACTTCTTATACTCTGTATTAGAAAGATATAGCTTTAAGCGTCTCTGATCCTAAACAAATTTTCATATGGGAGACATTAATGATTAAATAACTCAAATCCATCAATTATCCCAATATATATCCACCAGACTATTGGCACAATTTACCAGGTTAACATTTTCTTTTATCTATAGAGCTTTCATGTAATTGTTTTTGTTTAATTATTTTGTGAATATTCTAACATTCATTAATGTATGGTGAAATCCTCCCTTACCTAGTTGTTTGAATTAATTTACATGTCATGTGAGACTTTTGTTTAATTCAATTTACATCATTATTGTTCCAAACCAATTTCTGATGATGTCATTATATAACTGTCAAAAATATTCTGTTTCTTAATTTTATTAAAGTTATGGTAAATTAATACCGAAAACAGTAATTTCTCTTAATTTTATGGAATTTGGAATGATGTTATGTCACCATCAGTGACTAATCCTACTTTGCTTAGAGCCAATGACAACTCGATACAAGGTGATGGGACAATTAACACTACTTTGTCTAACAACTCAGGGTGTAATGGTCTGAGGATTATTCAACTGTGATAGTCATTCTAGTGTAGTATAGTGTTGTTTTTTTTTTTTTTTTTCTTTTTGCCCTTAATTTTATTGAATATTTCTACTAACTTAAATCAGTTATTTATATTGAGGCTTATCATATCAGTGAATATAAAAACAAAATTTCTTAAATTTATTGTATATTTAAGTTTACAAAACAGAGATTTTACAATCATTAAAACTAATATGTACTAATATAATACATCCAAAATGCATTTTGACTAAAATAGTCTCTCTTCAGTTGGTGTTTCAATTAAACTCACAAGATAAAAATACATAAAAGTTAAATTAAAAGGCCTAAATAACAATGAAGACATCACAGTTAAGAAACCAGTGTTATATCACAAGTGCTATACAATAAGTTCGGTTCTTTTCGTGTTTCCTATAACCAAGCCAGCCATAGAGTTAATTGATGCCTGTGAAGGATTGACTGAAACATTACACCAAATAAAAAGAAAAACAAGTAAAATGGCAAGGCTGTATTTAGGACAAGACTATGTCTCGGAGACTCACTACTAAGCGGAATCACTTTGACACTCAAGGCAGGTCTCGTTCTCATTCTCCAATCTTCTTTGGTATCGCTGCTTTTGGGCGTGATCGTTCAAACTTTGCCTGCTACGACCACAAGGTTGTCCATGATGCATTTTCAATTAAATTAACCTATCCAGTTTCTAAATTTCTCTCTGTTGCATGTCAGCCTGGGTTGAATTTTTGTCAATGCATAAAAAATTTTCCATTTTTGAAAAAAAATAATCGTGGCTATTGTATCGTTTGAAATTATTTTTTTTATTTTGCACAAACAATATACAGTTTAACCCAATTATAACATCATCAGATGTAACAACCCTAATATAACGTCAAATTTTTATCGGTCCCATGATTTTACTATACTAGATAATGTTAAAAAACCTACTTGTAATGACATAAAACCCTGTTTTAATGTCATATTTGAAGCACTCCCAAATTTACAAAATAAGATTACAAATTTTATTTAACAAAGAAAATACTGTGTGTTCAGTCCTAGGGTCAGAGTCCACTTCCTAGAATGACTGAGTGGTACTCTCACCACCTGACTTCAGTTTGTCTGTTTGTCATTTTGTATTTTGACTCTGTTCTCGGTCCCCTGAGTACCTACAAGTCTAGTTTTTTTTTATGCACGCATGATTTGGGCACTCTGTGCCAAATTGCAACTCATGACATGTAATCTTTCATACCTCTAAGCTGGTAACACGCAGGCAGTACATTTTATAAACAAGACACAGTGTTGTCAATAATATGCACTTTTACAATCAAATCCTGGAGAAAAATCTGGGATTTGATTGTAAAAGTGAATATTATTTTTCTTTCCCGTTATATCTTATTTTCAGTATATTGTTAATGAAACCCTAGAATCTGAAGCACTCCCTCTTTGTAACTGGTGTGGAAAATAGAGTATGTTATTTCAACAAGAAAACACTCATCCACTTATGGCAAACATCTCATGGAATGTTTGAGGTATCAACATATTACCATGGCCTGCCAATTCCAGATTGATCCCAATAGATGATGTTTGGGACATAATCTACAGACTTGTGCAAGAGTACAGATAACTGAAACTCTTCTCCAAGAGGTTGAGAAAGCATGGCAAGCAGTAATCCAAAACACTATGAAATCTCTATAACTTGCTGCCATAATATAGTGAAATGCATCTCTAAAAAAGGAATGACAATACTACTACAGTCACTTTTGTGCACAATAGATAAAATTTCCAGTGCAGAAGAAACTGTCATATCTTATGGTTAAGACTGGTAAAGCAAGTAAATAACTTTCAGGCAAATTGCATGTTCCCTTCTTGGTATTGCAATTTCAATTTCACTGAGTGTATTTATAACAGAATTACAGAAAAATATCTAAAATAATTGTTTTATGATCAGTTATAATAGAATAATAATTTAAAGTATTATTATAAATAATAGCTTGTAAGTTATAGATTTCTTTTATGAATACATTTTCAGATGGGATACAAGGTGTAATGTAACTAACAAACCCAGTCATATAGTAGATGCACATGCAGCAGAAGTGAACTGTTTGTCTTTTAATCCTTATAGTGAATTTATATTGGCCACAGGCTCTGCAGACAAAGTAAATCTTATTTTTTTAACCTATTTGTAAATAAAATTATTTTTTTGTTTTTTATATAAATGAATGTAATTTGTAGACTGTAGCTCTTTGGGATCTTCGTAATTTAAAGTTGAAGCTTCACTCATTTGAATCGCATAAAGATGAAATATTTCAAGTTCAGTGGTCACCACACAATGAGACAATTCTGGCTTCAAGTGGGACAGACAGGAGGCTCCACGTGTGGGATTTGAGTAAAATTGGTGAAGAGCAAACTCCCGAAGACGCAGAAGATGGGCCACCCGAACTTTTGGCAAGTTTTATTTAGTTTTTGTTTATACAGATCTGAGTCAAATTCATCATAAGTTTCTTTATTTACAGTTTATTCATGGAGGACATACTGCTAAAATTTCTGATTTCTCTTGGAATCCTAATGAGCCATGGGTGATATGCTCTGTATCTGAAGATAATATTTTACATGTCTGGCAAATGGTATAGCTATTGTTATTATTATTAATATATATTGATACATTTACTGATGATACAAAATTTAAGCATTTTTTTCACATTTTAGGCTGAAAATATTTATAATGATGAAGAACCAGAAACAACAGCTACAGAGTTAGAAAGTTCTGCTACATGATTTAAATTTTCAAAAAATCTTGCATTTAGCATTTTTATTCTGAATCATTTCTCAGTTGCTCAGAAGTCAGTAGAAGAGGTTACACATCAAAAGACATTAAATTTTATATTTAATTTTTTGGCATAAAACAACCAAAACATGCATTTATATAAATGATTATTTTTTCAAACAAAGATTAAAGTCATGCGCGATAAAAAGAAAATACATTCCACACGTCCATTCTTTAACAAAAACTACTCTGCCTAAGGCATTTGAAAAGTTATGTATCATAAAGCTTTAAAATGTTTTTTAACAATCTAATTTTTTCATTTTACAAATGGGAAAACAAACAATTTTTCCATTCTATCACACACCTGGAGAGTTTTTGGTACAAAACATCTGGAAGATAACGATTACATGACACACATTTGTATTTTTGTATACCTCGTGTATGTTGGATCCATCTTTGATGCAGGCTCAACTACTATTAGGAAGAGTATTCCTTTAAAAAAAATTAAGAAGCTGTATCATAAATGGAGAATAGGAAGTTGTGATTTTTGAAGTAGAAAACATTTTGTGAATTTGTTGTGCAGTAAGAATAAATTTAATTTCAAAACATCGTTTTTCTTCTTACTTTTAAATATAAGAGTTTTTTCATTTTGTTTTTTGGAGGAAATTCAAAGAAATAATATACCTAAAGCTTGTATTGGCTTGCTATTAAAAAGCTAAATTTTACTTTTCCCAGCTGTTATATATATAACAGAGGGAAAGTTTGGTGATCAGTCAAAAAATGACCACCAAGATTTTACATTTTTTGGACTATGGATCTTGAAGTGTTGAGAAAAGCAAAAATTTAGGGATTTTTTCTGTGTGTGTGTGTGGATGTTTGTTGGGGCATGATTTGGTTCACCCACTTTTAAGCTTAATAGCTCCTGTGCCTTTTGTCAAAAATTTCTGAAATTTTTCAGGGAGGTTTGTATATTAGTGTGTTAATGCTATTAAATTTTGGTGAGGAGTGGTCAAAATTTACTCATTAGCATGTACAATATTTTTTTTTTTTTGGTTAATTTCTACCCTCAAAATTAAGCTTCTTGCCATTTTATAATTATACAAAGTTTAAATAAAATATCAAAACAGATGGTGTCACCACAATTTTAAATGCTTTTACCAGGAAAGTTATGAAAGTCGTTTCTGAATTTTTTTTAATATTAAATTCTATATTGAATTTAATATTTAAGTTTGAACTTCCAGAAGAACTAAAATTATTATTATTTTAATGTTATTTATTTGATGAAATTTTAAAACTAACATTCAAGATCGCTTGTATCTTGATTTCATTTTCTTCACATATATACTGTAATTTCCTGCTTATCTGCACCATCACAATTTCCAATTTGCAATGAAAACATTTTATTTAACCAGTGTACAATTTAAAAAATTCTCTCAAACGTTTCTTTAGTTTTATTTACTTTAACAGTTGTAGATGTAATTATAAAATAAAATAATATTAGAGTTTAGGCGGTTGTCTGAAATGTTGAAAATACAGAATGGCTGTGGAACAGCAAATCATAAAACCTGATGTGATGAATCATAATGGTAGGACATTCAATAAGGTATGGAAATCATTAGAGGTTTTTCAAAATTCGCATTCTTTTCGAGATGAACCCTGCCAAAAAATATACACAACTTGTTGCTGGATTTTTTTAATATAAAACATTAAATTCAATATAGGATTTAAAGTTTAATTCTACTTTTTCCGCCAGAATACTAAGTTTTCGGTCAACGTTGTGCCTCAAAATTTCCGCGGATGCATAATTGCATACAACGAACCAGTGACTATCGGAAAACAATTTTAAACATGCCACCCCCTAAAAAAAGAAATTTCCACTCCTGTGTCAACGTTCTTTTTTATCCTATAGGAAAGAAGAATATATCCAAAGCTATCCCACTTGGAAAGAAATTTTTTTAAATACCCGTTAATTACATATGTTTTGTACTAATCCAGACACTTATTCAAAAATGCGAACTTTGTTATCATGATTTGAAGTTTGTTTTTTCAGAGCTAAAATTCCGTTGTCTTTTTACACAATTTGTTTTCATCTAAAATGTTCGAATAAATTTGCCTTTTTTAAAATTATTGTTCTTTCTGCCTGTGGGTACTAAGAGTCTTATCATACTCATAGTAGGTCGAGCAGGCCGTCCATAGGAAATTCCTGGGAATTTTGTCCAGATTAGATCCCGAAAGCAATAGGCCAGAGGCAGACGTACTCCGCCGCCAACTTTTTTCTCGTTTATTGGCCCCCTAAAATTAAGCCACTCCGATTTCATTGTCGGAGACAACGGAAACGTCCTTCTAAATATACAGTATTAATATAATGTATATTTCAAAGGTTTTCTTCACGTTTGTAACACGTAAATAAACGGAAATAAAACTGGCGAGGCGCGAACCCACTACAAACTACCAGTGATTTTATCCTCTCCGCCAATATGACTGTGTTGTCCAACACGACATAAGAAGATTCTGTAGTGAAATGGAATGAATGAAGCATATATTAAAATTTACGTTTCTTCACACAAGCAATGAGCAGTGAAAAAATTGAAAATTATATAAAATTAATTGGTGGTCCATCTGCATTCTTGCCATTAATAGCAAGGATGCAGAATACATTTAACGTGAAAATTCAGCTCAATAAAAGAAATTACATTATAGAATCTCTTAGTTTGCTTCCATCTTTATTTACAATTTATTTATTTATGTTAATGTTACCATATTTATTATTTATTTTTTTAGTATTTAGATTTTGTCTTAAGCTGTATTTGTTCGAATGTTCCATGTTTTTTTTATAAAACGTTTGGACTCAGCGTTCTACACCTGAGATAAACATTACAACCTAATAACAGGTCATGTAAAAAAAATCAGCAAGATTAAAGTGATGAAGTAAATTTAACCATTTCTCACTGCTGGATGTGTGATATTAAAATGTAATTGTTAAATTTTAAATTTTGTTCAGATTTGTGTCGAACTCAGGTGGTTATCTACGGCAGTGGTTCTTAGCCTTTTTATACTGGCGGCCCACCAAATATTTCATAATTTTTTTTGTGACCCCCATTTTTTTAAACAATAATTTATATTTGTTAAATTATCTATAATAAATTGATTTTTTTATTATTGCTTTATTTTTAAAATTCCAAGCATTAATAATTTCTTAGAATTACTTTGGAATAAAAGTATATACTGCGGTGTAAGTAGCATATTTGCATTTATTTTTTCAGTACTAACAAAGTTGTAAGTAGGAAGAAATAAGAAATAAATAAACAAACTAAATACGAAAACTTTATCTTTCTTATTTCACCTTTCAATATGATATTCGGTTATACATCAATTTTCTTTTTATTATATTCTGAAGGAAATTTTACATAATTTGGCGGCCCCCGGCAAACTTCTTACGGACCCCCTGTTAAGAAACACTGATCTACGGTATACAGTTTAAGAAACGTTGAACTAATGCACTGTGGCGTATTTACAAACACTTGCATGGCGCCACAAAACTGGACTTACTCCGGTAGAATAAAAAGTTACCTAAGCCACTGGTGTAAACAAGTTTATCACATCAATTCTGATATTTTTGAAATTAATGACAGGGTTTTTTTTAATTTAAACTCAACACCACTTCCAAATTGCCCATTTAAGATTTGTGATATCAACTGTAAGCTCTGCTTAACCTTACACAAAATACAATTATATATAGTCTTCATATAAGTTAAATGCATATTAACGTAAAAAAAAGTGTATGAAATGAGTTTAACAAAAATCATTTTATCTATAGTTTTAGCTTTCATTCGTATTCGCGGAGGAATAGAACAAAACCAAGAAAATTTTGCAAGTGTCTGACAAACTAACCAAAAAATAAGAAATTTATCTCTGGACGTTATATTTTCTTGGACTGGCAACATTGTTGTATATGCCAGGCCTGTTTGTATGTTATGATTGTTGGCTAAATTCTTTTGATATTTGACAAAGTTTGTTGGTGTCGGATTATAAGACTATTAAAAAATTGTGTTAGGATATTATCCCAATGTCATTACATCGCAATGAAAATTTAATGAAATGATTTTGAATTCGTGGAGTGGATAGAAACAGCAAAAATGGCCGTTTGGAGATATGTGGGGCTCTTCCTACAGAAGAATACCAAAAGGAATGAAATTTTTGGATACGTGTGAAGAATTTTACTTCACGTATGGGACTGTTGTTAGGAAACTCTACTCCCATTGTTATCTCTTCAATATGCTTCAAAACCATGATGTTTTCCTGATGTTCTCAGTGACTTAAGTATTTTTTAAGTTCTGTTTTTTTTCTGTGTAAGTTTCAATGCGCGTAATGTAAGATTATATAATTAATAAACAGTTTTTGCAAAGAATAAACATTTACTTTCAATCCTCTAGTTCTAAAATAGAAACATTCAGTAAAAAGAAAAAAAAAACTAGTAATTTGATTATTTCGTATATCATCTACTGAAGTTATTCGAGGACAAGGCCAATTTTTAAGAAAACTTACAAAGCCACATTACATTACTGGAGTTACGTAATCATTTAGAAAGGTGTTTCGATTCACCCCATTTGAGGAACTTCATAAAAATAATATTGCGGATATTCGTGTTAATATTTAACTAAACTTTTTTAAAAAATTAATCAAATTAACTGGCAAGAGAGTGAGTTTATAAATGATTGTAAAACATTAAATACACTGAAAATTTCACCGTTTGATTTCGAAGATGTAACACAACTTTCTAATTAATCACTCAGTAATTAGAACAATATATCTAAACTACATAAATTATCAATGCAATCAGTTAAATATACATGAACTGTAATTAAAGATCTCCAGATTCAAATTTCATCTATTATTATTCGATATGACACGAATACTTCTATGATTTAAAGGAATAGACGAATATAAAATTATAATTCCCGTATTTTAAATAATTTTCTAGCAAAGACTATAAAGTTAATACGACAGCTAATAACAGATTTATATTTGACATTTCTTTGCACAATTAACGAAAACATTTCTTAGATCTTAAAAGCAGCATTTTATTTTTTACTTTCACACCTTTCTTTATTTATTAATCTTGTTTTCAACAAGACATACTTAGGCTATTTATAGCTTATCTTAATTCGTAATTAAAAGGCCTTCCGCTAATAGTAATCTAAATGAAAAATACGAAGCAACTTTCCAGTCGAGTGAACGAATGATTCAGTATTTTACGATCAACGCCTTATAAATCTGAAATTCAAAATACGCGGTCTTCCGGTCTCCCGTTATTGACATTCTAGTTTTTTTTTATTTAAAAAAAATATTTTATTATCGGAGTGACATAAAACTTGTTTATAATGTCACGCGATAAATGCGACAATAGAGACTTATGTATAAGATGTTACCATCCGTGACTAGTTTTTTAAGAATAGTTTACACTTTACCTTTTAAATATGCTTTAAAAATATCTTTTTCGATAAATAATTAAAAATGAATTATTGCTTCGAGTTATTTACTTGCAGAAAATTTTAATCTCTCGTGACTTTTCAATTAGTTTATCGAAAAAAATAATTAATTAAAAATGTTCAAAGAAAGAAACTACAAGAATAATAGAATATATTTATTATTTATAACTGAATATTTTCAGTCGAACAATAAATATTAAAAAAAAAGCAAGCTTCTATATGTAGTTTCTAGTCTTGCATGAACTAAGCACGCATATGGGAGAGTTTATGCCCATTGTGTTTACGGCTTGTAATTAACATTTGTTATAAAATGCAGTAAACGGCACACCTGAATTTGTAAATAGCTCCCTACAATCTTTACAATAAACTAAATAAAGTTCACTTGTTTATACACGTAGAGAGCTATTTTTATACAGCTAAATTTATTTTATTATACATGAAAAATCGATTTGATTCCTGATTGCTACTGAACATCCATTAAGTCTAGAGCCAGCTGTAAGCTGGCTCTAGACTTAAATCTACCAATAATTATAAATTAAACTCGAAGAATTATGGTGAAATCTTTCAATGAAATCAACCATTTCTTTAACTTTTAGATAATTCAAAATGCACACAAACTGATAACAGAAATATATCTTAACCTTACACAGAGTGAAACTTTTATGTTAAAGGTAAAAATCATTGTTAAACATCGATTTATTCATATTTATCCGAAAAGTAGAGCAACACTTTCAAGTTTTAAGACAGAAAAAATTCTAAGAATTAAATTTAGTATCGAAATCTTTCCCTTTAAGGATGCTCAACTGCACATTTTACCAACATTAGCGCTTTAATATTGGCTGTTAAGACCATTTTCCCAAATATTTGACGGCAATATTTAGACTTTTTCTAGAAGACAACCGGTTTGGTATAGGAAAAACATTAAAAATGATTTAACGTCGCCATCTGCATAACATTGGAGAAAGAAGAATGCAGATGAAAGATCTGCAATATTAAATTTTATGAAATTTTTACAGGTGACGAGTAGTGTCGAGGAGTGGGATGGGTTACTGGTTTTACGGGTGCGTCCATGTTTCTACCCGAGTAGGTATTATTGGCATTTACATAATCGGAAGACACCTTTTGCAGTGGGCTAACGCAGGGTGTGTAACAAATCTGAAGTTTTCAGTTTTTTAAAAAATATTCATAAATTTTACTACTGAATATATACGGAATGTTTGTTTATATTACATTTAATGCTGTATAAACGAAACGTTCCATAATTAAAACTGGAACGCAATTGCGATCGTTAAAACGGCTTTTAATTTTGCGAACAAAAATTATACTAAATTCCCGAATTTTACGTGTGTGAAAGAAAAATAAAGGGATGGGTCTACCAATTTTTTGTTTTCACTCCGAGATGGCGCAACCTTCGCCGAATTATTATATTTTCCGTTTTTTTTTCATTCGAAATAAAAAGCTGTTACGTGATTGGTGGAGCGTTTAAAATGGAGGTAACTTTTTTACATTGCCTGAAAGGCACGCGATGTGTCAACAGACCATACACATAATTGGACTACGACTCGAACGAGGCAATTAAACTTTCATCGCAGTAAGTAGCATACCATTCTTTAAATAGTTAATGGAGTCGGCGTGTATAAAAAAAAAAAATATTCTCGGAGAGAAAAAAATTCAAGAAAAAAAAATTGCGACCGACTCCTTTATTATTATGTTTAAAAGGGCCAAACCCTACCGAAAAATATTGCGTGGAATCCGGATGACGACAAAAGCAACGCGATTCTTAAATCACGTTACTTTTCTTCGTGGTGAGCCTGCATCTGCCGTAAATCCTTTCTCGAAGAATTTATAATCTATATAATAAATTTTTCAGATCGTGTTTCCGGGCTTAATTTATATGTTAGCAACGTCGCGCACGTTTATTATTAATATGGCAACAAAGTGACGTAGTAGTTGCGTTGTCGTGCAATGTCTGGTCGTGATTCAAGTTCACGATGCGGCCGCTTCTTGAGCCCGGGGTTAAAAAATGCCAGTTTGTTCGAGAACGCCGAGAAGAATAAAGCATCCGGGCTAAAAAAAACTGGCAAAAAACTTAAAAACTTTACTAAAACTTTCGTAATTTTTATTTTATTTACCGTCATCTTGAAACTACAGGTTACTATTATTTCTGAGTTTGGGATGTTAACTCATGCTGCGGAGTTTCAGATTGCCAAAATTTCGACAAAGGAATCGCTCTTCCAACGACTTTTGCGTAAGTACTGTACACGTTTCCCCTCTTATTTATTTTCTGGCGATTAAAAATCGATCACGTGTACGATTAATTTCAGGAAGAAAGTGAATCTCTGCATTCTGCCGCTTCGACGGGGAACGTGGACAGAATTAGAGAACTTTTGGATTTCGGTGTTCGCGTTAATGTGATTAACGAGGTGAGATTTTTCTTGCTTTTTTCTTCGTGACGGGTCAAGACCGCTGTACTAGAGTCACGATATATTTGCTATGTAAGCAAGCTATATTGTCTTTCGAGTGCTCGATTAAATAGTTAATATTAAAGTTATCTTGCAGGAATTAGCTACTTGCCTAGTTCTGTAGAACCCATTCCTTTACTAATTCGGCGTTATCTTGTAACAAAAGAATACTTCTATAATAGATTCATACATAAAACATTTATAAAAAAAATTCTCACAACTGCTATTACAAACGATTCTGTTCTACTATCACTTAATACTATCGTCTGAATTAATACTTTTCATATGAAAAAGTTACAAAAAAAAGACGATTCTGTCTTGTAAGATCGTATCTACTATTGTTTCAGAATCTTTCTAGTACCTAACGATAGCGTTACTAATAAGACTAATTGTGTAGCACGCAACAAATTATTGATAAATTTTTATAAAACACTACACGTATCTGCAAGCATAAAAAAAACCTGTTTACTAATACAACCGAGTAATATACAAAACTTTGTAAATTTACTGGCAGATAACTGTCGAATTGTTAAATGTTAGATACACCAGATAACAGACTGAAAAGCTTTCTATAGCATACCTAAGGTTAGTTTTTGTTTCGCCATTGTCAAATGATAATTGCGAGTTCTGATAATTTACATCACCACGAATCCCAGCTTTTGTTGCTATGTAAATTATCAGAAGCACCTGCCAAACAAGCGCCATTTCCACAAAAATTTACTCCAATGGCATAAAATATTTTACGAGCGATTTAAAAAACAAAAGCCTCATTACACACTTGAGTTTTCACTACGTCACGCAAAGTTGATCCCGTTTTTCTGTTAGAGTGAACGACAAATGATGGCGTAAGTAAAGCGCGTGTCGTTTGTGTTCTTGTTTTTTTTCACCGTGCTAATTATTTTCCTGTAAGATTTCGAAATTTTGAAATAGATAGATGAAAATGCCGGGCTTCCCAACGATAGTGGCAGGCTACCATTAGAGGGAAGGCAAACGTGCCAGTGAGGTTAGTAAAGAAAGCAAGGTCAACGACTGGTACATAATGATAGACTTGTAAGAACGTGCTGTAGATGAGAGACGGAAGTCAAGTAATGTTTCGGGAGACAAAGTAGATAGCCTACAGCATTTTGTCAACCTGTTCTGTGCAGCTGGTTCTTGATGATGATGAACAAATTCGACAGTTTGTTTAAATGTTCCTTTTTTTTAATAATAAAACCCATATTATTTAACGTAAAGTTGACAACAACAACAACATATTTATTTCTATATTGATATAGCATGGAAACACCGCTTTGCATCAAGCAGCCTGGAATGGATTCAGTCAAACCATTGAAATTTTATGCAAGAAGGGAGCTGATGTTTATGCAAAAAATAAAGTTAGTGTTGTTAATGTTCTAAAATCTTGGTTACTTCAACCAGTTTCTTAATTTTAATAACTGTTAGGCAGGATTTTCGGCACTCCATCTGACCTGTCAGAACGGGCACAATCAGAGTTGTCGTATTTTGCTCTTGGCAGGATGCAAGCCTGATATAAAAAACAGTGTAAGTAGAAAATTAAGGAAGTAAGCGAGGGAAGTATTTGTATGTTCTAAACGAAATATTTTATTTTCAGTATGGTGACACCCCTCTTCACACTGCAGCAAGATATGGTCATGCAGGAGTAGCTAGAATTCTCATCAGCGCTCATTGCAACATAAACGAAACAAATAAGGTATATTTGTTTAAAAATATAGAAGTTATTATTTAACATGCAATTTATCAATTTATATATATATTACAATAATGAAAATATCAGAAGGAAAAATTATGACAAATTTCAAATCCAGTAATTTTAATTTACATTAAATACTTTGAAATGACAAGAGAAATTATTAATTCTCACATTATACAACTAATATCTTATATTATTTCATAACTAACAAGTAAATTTAACTTATTAAAAAAATCTTAATTAAATATCTGTTATGGTAGCTGTTTATTCGTTCATACATGTATATGTCTCTTTAATCCGAAAAATCACAAGAATTCCGGTAAACTATCTTACAGCCTTTAAGTCAGGAACATCCTTTATTGAAGATACAGGTAACATATGCATTTTGGACTTATTTTATCTTTAAGCTCCTCTTCAGTGCAAAAAAAGAAGGTTTTCCACGATTTTTTCTTACAAATCCTTCTGCCACACTAAGTGTCATATTAGTGTGAAAATACATGTATAAAAATCTTAATTACACTTTGCTAATAAAAAATGATATTTAAGATTGAGGAAACAAAATTTCATACTTATCTGATGTAAAAGTAATTAAATAAAAATTATAATAGATATGATATTACTGACAAGTAAATCTAACATTTTCTTCAGTATAACTGATGGAATGTCAACCTGACATCTAAAATAATGATGAAAATGCTAATCAAAATGATGAATAGCATTTCGGAACACTTAGTTCAACTTTCATAACTTTGATATTGTCAGATTGAGTGCTTTTAATTATTAACCGAAACATATTGTAGATGTTACATTTGTGATCTTTTACAGTGAAAAATTTTACTGTCTTATAAAAGTAATGAAATTAGTAACTTTTGCACCTGTGTAAGACAATTAAACAAAATAACTTGTAATTTACTTACATATAAAAAATGAAATTATTGACTAATTATAATAATTCAAAGATAAACAATTTTCATCTCAGTTTTTAGAATATAAAACAAAGAATTTAATAATAAATTATTTAAAAAATGTTATCATTATATCATTTAATTAGAAGTTATTTTCAAGATGTTTAATAAGTTAAGAGAACCAAAATATTATAAATATTTTGGTTTTCTTATAAAAATTTATAGAAAATCAAAAACTCTAAATCTTGGTTTTCTATAAATTTTTAGAGTTCATTTATATTTATATATCTAAATTCAATTTATGACTTTCAATGTATTAATAATAAATTACATCAAAGATTTTTGTCTAATGAAGTGCATAAGGAGTCTCTTGATTCAAATATATTTATTAAAGGTTGAAATGTTAGGCTTAAATAGAAAAATTGATTGACTGTATAATGGATTTTCATAAGTCTAAGATTTTTTAAACATATATGTATATTTATTTATTTTCAGAATGGAGATACTGCTTTACATATATCAGTTGCTATGGGAAGAAAGAAGTTATCTCAGATATTTCTTAATGCAGGATGTAGTCAGTTTATCAAAAATAAAGTAAGTGAAATCATTCTAATTAAGAAAGAACATGGTCGATAAAATAAGGTAATATTTGCAGCAAAAAGAAAAGCCATTGGATATTGCAAGAAGAAAGAAATACACAGAAATTGAACACATTTTATTAAGACATACAAGAGAGAGAAATTTGCAGGGAAGACTGGGAAGAAAGGCTAAAGAATTCAGTGAGGCATCTCAAGGAAGCAGAGATAGTACTGATAATGCTGAACAATTTTGGAAGGTAAATTTTTTTTTTAAATTAATGCTTTATTCTTTTAAGCTGATAAACTATTATTTTAGGAAAATAAATTGAATTTTGAAAGGAGTGACATGGAATATCAAAGATACAAAAAACAACAGAGCCCATATGGATGCCATATGTTTCCAAATCCAGATGTATTTCCTCCTATCAAGCTCAATACTTTGCCTAGTGAACCACTGATGAAAGGAGAACAATATTACATAGATTTGGCAGGAAATATTAAAAAAGTATGAATATTTAACTTAATTTTTGTTTAAAACTTTTTTACTGCTAAGAAAGCTCTTGAAAATAATAGAATCTTCTTCTTATGACAAATTAGAGCTGTCTCAATTAATGGAACTCTAATATATTTCCATAATAGTAACCAGATGCTAGGTAACTAAAAAAAAAAAGTAATTTTATACTTGACTGAATATAAGTACTTTTAAAAATACCTAAATGTTTAAAAAATTTTCAATGAAACAAAATGCCTCACTGAAAGTTTGTAGAAAATGAGTATCATAATAATGCACATCAACTTCAATTTTTTAAAATATATATAAGATAATTCATAGATAGGTTGTTTCTTCTCTATGCAAAATATACATGCTTAGAAAATATATATTTAAAAAGATTGGCTGTACTGATATTCTAACATGAAATTGCTTAAAAGGTTTGTCTGTCTGTTGATTGTCTTAAAAAATTAATGTATTGCATCTTGGAATACTTTAAACTATACCTAACTAACCAAGACTCTTAATTATCCAAGGTGAATTGTATAATAGTATGAGGGCAATCCAGAAAGTAATTTACATTTTAGAATATAAAAAAAAACCCAAGTGAAAGGACACATTTATTATACAGGTATACCTCGCCTTACGTCGGTAATTGGTTCCAGGAGAACAACGTAAGTCGAAAAACGATGTAAGTCGAATTTACTTGTCTCCGAATCTACTTGTCACTAGGCTAAATCATAAATTACCATTCTTGGTTCTGTATTTTATTTATTAATGCATTTTTAATAATATATGGTTAATAAAAATCTATTTTAAGCTTACAAACAAATAAATTTTAGCTTTTAATATAGTACAGAAAAAAGTATTCTAAATTTACAAATGCATGTACTGTAAATACAGAACATACTAGTATATATTTTAATATGATTTTATGTGCTTTAAACGTTTTTCTAGTGATATTACGACTTCAATATTTGTGGCGGACAGACATAAAGTCGAATAAAATGACTTAAACTTGATTTTTATTTTTCCATATACTTTTTCTACAAACGACGTAAGTCGAGGTATGCCTGTATACATTTGAAAGCCATACTCTTAAACTATTTTTCAACATAGTTGCCATTCAAATTGAGGCACTTATCATAACAGTGCACCAGTTTATTAATTTCATTGTCATAGAATTTTGCCACCTGAGACTTCAACCACTCATCCATGCTTGCCTGCAGTTCCGCTTCATTGTGCCATATTGCAAGCCATAATTTCATGCATGGAAACAAATGGTAGTCACTTGGTGCAAGATCTGGACTATAAGCGAATGAACAAAGATCTCCCATCCAAAACCATCCAAGAGGCATCGATTGAAATTGGTCTTGTGCAGGCAGGCACTGTCCTAAAAAAGAAACAAAATCTTGGAACTCAATTTTCCCTAATGTTTGTTTAAAAAAGTTAAGAAGAGCAATTCAAATGTTTCACAATATATTTCAGAGTTTATTGTTGAACCACATTCAAGGAAATCCACCAGAAGCATACCCTTCCTGTCCCAAAAAATAGTCACCATCATCTTTCTTGCTGACAATGTTTGCAAACATTTCCTTGGTTTTGTGGGAGAATTTGTGTCCCCCACTCCATAGACAGGTTTTTTGTCTCACAAGTCAAGTGTTTTATCCAAGTTTTGTCCCCAGTTATGACATGATTGAGAAGTGATTCACCATCTCTGTGGTATGCTTCCAAAAATGTCAACGATGCTGTCAAGCACTGTTTTTTGTGGTCATCTGACATGATTTTCAGTATCCACCTGGCAAAAACCTTATGGTAGCTTAGCTTGTGGGCATTACAACTTCATGCAACAAACTTTGTGAAATTTGTGAGACTTCAAACATGAGCTCCATAATTCTGAAGCAGCAGTTTTCACGAATCTTTCCATTGATTTTCATCACCAATTCATCAGTCAAAATGCTCGGTCAGCCACTTCACTTTTCATCATAAACATTAGTGTGGTCATTTTTAAACATAATGAGTGAAGACAGTAAAGCAGTGGTGCATAATGTTATGTCCGTATACATCACAAAGTTGTCAATGAATTTCAATTGGTTTGTGGTTTTTTTCCAACAAAAATTTAATCATTGACTGCACTTCACAACTCACTGGATTTTCAATTGCAGTACACAAAACAGAAGCAACACAAAACACACACTAACAGAGCTGAATGTTTACTTAATAAGTGAGGAGATGCTTTGACACCAAATTGGCAGCTCTAGCCCAAACCCATGCCCCTAGTGGCAAAAACATAAGTTATTTTCTGGATTTTCCACATACTTTATAAACAGACGACAAGGGAATTTAGTACAATATAGAGCATTTCATGAATCTCAACTGAGCAATGCATAATACTTGAAAGGGGTTCTAGAAGTTTTAAAAAAATTTTAATTGTAATAATCATAAAACTTTGACAAACTACAAAAATATTGTTAAAAATCAACTATTTTATGTCAAGCATTCTACATTATTTGATTTTTTGATTATCTAAAGCACTTTTTGTGGTCCACATTACTTGAATAATCAAAATTCTACGTCAGAACTGTATCAGAAATAAAGTAGTAAATGCAGTAATATTTTGAATCAACGTAAGAATGCTTATTAAGATATATTTCTTAATGTATCCGGAGTGTGTGTTTGCTGAAGTATTAAACATACACTCCAGTTACAAGGTTAAAAGTAAGAGTTATTTTTAGTACATTCCGGTGTGTGAAGACAAATAAGATATATCTCTTGAAAAAATTATTCAAAAAGTTTAATATTTTCTATAAAAAAAATAAAACTTAAAAACTAACAATAGATTATAGAATTAATCATTACTACAAACCTATTTATAACCTACAATACCAAAGTTAAAATCATTCTAATATCATTTGTTTTCAAGGATATAAAATAATAAAACCTCAGAAAAAAATTTAAAGATGCTAAAAATATTAAAATTGTTTAGTTTATGTTTGCAATGAATCTGCATATTGACATTTTAAGTTTTTATATCTGAATTTACCCTATCTATAAAATAGACATTTCAAAGGAAGAAAATATTGTATACGGTTAATTAATTAATTTATTTATTTAGCCTATGGCTTATACATGACACAAACAAAGCGTAACAAAATGGAGTAATACAGAACCAGAAGTGAAATAAAAGAATAAGAAGCAGTAAGTCTATATGCAATTAAACTATTGTAAAACTGTACAAATATGTGACTGCACATGTACACAAGGAAATAAAGAGCATTCAGAGTTGTAGATCTAACTCGCTTATCCACTTTACGGCCTCTGAGGTGGACATTAGTATGTCACTCCAGTTTCCCGGGTAAGCCCGCAGTCTACATTCGCGTGCAATGTGCTCAACAGTCTGACGTGGAGCACCACAGTCACACTCCGGGCTTGGAACCTTCTTCCATTTGAACAAAGAGTCCCTACACCTGCCATGGCCCGTCCTGACACGGTTTAATGCGGACCATGTTTTGCGAGGTAAGTCGAAACCCTGGACTTTTCCCCTATGACAGAACAGACAATGCAAGTGGGACCCCATTCCTGTTTCCCAGCGGTTTTTCCACAATGTCATGTAGTCATCATCAGTTATAGCCATGTCTTGAGCTGCCTGAAGGGTTGGATTCCGAGATTTCAAGCGGTTAATGCTCAAGGATGGAATGTCTTGGTGAACTTGGAGTTGAGGATTTTTGCTTATCTTTAGGGACTCGCAAGCAAGGGCCTTATATTGACACAGGTCAGGTGGCATGACTCCTGCCAATAATGGTAGCCAAAGTGCTGGTGTAGATCGTATGGTAGCATAAATCAGGCGCATTGTAACATTAAGCTGTGTATCTACCAATCTTTTGATTTATCTTTTGATTTGTATCTTTTTGATGATCTTGTTTGATGATCTTTTGATTTGTATCTACCAATCTTCAAGATTGGTATACAGTTAATAATAATTATTTACTAGTAGCTATAAAATTAAGAATATAAAAACCAATGTCCCATCTTCAGATCCAAACACAGTAAAATATACTGTTTGAATGAAGAACAAGAACAAATGTAAACTTTAAAAGTTTTTAAGCCTATTTATACTCTTATTTGCTTCATGCAATACAAAAATAAAATCAAGTACTTCAAAATAGATATAAAACTAAAATAGACATTCAGAATAATAATTAAAAATTTGTAGTAAAGAAATGTTTAGACTACTTTTTTTATTACAAATTACAGCTTTTTTTTTTTTTTGCATGGGACTTGCACTAAAATGACAAAATATAGCTTTAGTTCTGTATATAATTTCTTGAAATTTAGTAATCTGAATTTTAGTTTTTTATGCTATAATAAGTTCATGGAAACAAATGGTAGTCACTTGGTGCAAGATCTGGACTATAAGCGAATGAACAAAGATCTCCCATCCAAAACCATCCAAGAGGCATCGATTGAAATTGGTCTTGTGCAGGCAGGCACTGTCCTAAAAAAGAAACAAAATCTTGGAACTCAATTTTCCCTAATGTTTGTTTAAAAAAGTTAAGAAGAGCAATTCAAATGTTTCACAATATATTTCAGAGTTTATTGTTGAACCACATTCAAGGAAATCCACCAGAAGCATACCCTTCCTGTCCCAAAAAATAGTCACCATCATCTTTCTTGCTGACAATGTTTGCAAACATTTCCTTGGTTTTGTGGGAGAATTTGTGTCCCCCACTCCATAGACAGGTTTTTTGTCTCACAAGTCAAGTGTTTTATCCAAGTTTTGTCCCCAGTTATGACATGATTGAGAAGTGATNTTTTCAGTTTTTTTCTTAATAAAAATATTTGACTATATAATAATAATAAACTGATTCAAATTATTAAACCTACTCTTGCTAATATTACAAATAATCTTTAATGCTTTAGTCAGATGGAATATAAGCAAGCATTAAAGTAAACTTTAATGCTTACTTATATTCCATCTGACATAATGCTAATAATAAACTGATTTTATAATAGTTGCCTTTCCTATATAAGTCATTTATTTATTTAGAAATCAATAATATATGGTAAATTATAGTAAAAATTTCTGATATGATATATATATATAATCATACTGTATATATATATACAGTTGACTAATTTCAAATTATATATATAATTTGAAATTTTTATATTACATTATTAAAGAAGGTAATTTTTATTTTTAAAAAATCAAAATTCTGTATCACAATTTTAACAAGGTTATTGTTTATATTTTTACTTCAAAGAAAATTTGTATTCTAACTGATAAGTAGATTAAAAACTTTTCATAATAAAAGTTTGAACAAATTTCATAAAACATTTGATATTTAAATAGAAAAAGTCATTTGAATTACTTCATAAATTTAATATTGTACACAGTGTAATACTCATATTGTAAATAGTAGAAATGTATGTTTTTGAGTTATGGAAATTCTTGATGATATAACAGTAAAGTTAACAGTTATTAATATGGTTTTAAATTCAGATAGACCAAATATGACTAACTTGTATTTTGTCTTAATTTTATCTGTTTATTTCTTAAACCAGGTCTGGCCAATCCATGGTCCATTCTTTGAGGCCTGCCAAAAATTTTACATTCAGTTAAATATCCAAAAAAGCATAATGTTTGTTTCACTTGATTAAAATAGTTTATTGAAATTATCAATGGTAGAAGTGAGGTAGGTACCTGTCTAAATTTGAACACAATAACCATGTGTATGAAACTTTAAATATAATATTTACCACCAGAGGGCAACCCACTTCACCACACAGAGCCACTTTGCTAGTGCAAAGAGTATTTTATGAATCAATGTTGCCAAGTTATTATATTTTCTATTAAATCTGATATATTGGAATGTTGACCAAAGGTAAATTTATAGAAATTCTTTTATAGATCCAGTTTTTGAAATTGTTAGTGTTCTGGTAGATTATTATGGCAGTTGTATTGGAAAGCAAATTTCTTGACTTGGCAACACTGGAGTTATATGAAAAACTATAACAGACATATAAAAATTTTTTAAAATCTTATTGTTATATTCAGCAATCATATAATTTTGTACATAAAGTGAGTGATAACCTTATTTCAAATGCAAAATGTGATTTTTTGAGGTTACTAATAAATTAGGATTATCACTGATTTATCATATTTACAAAAAGTACATTTAAAAGCCTTTTTTCTCCTCTCCTCTGTAACTAGCCCACAGTTTGGTTGGCCAGGCCTATGTTAAACATTTGATTTAACAAAAATATAAATTTGTTAATAAGAAGAATATTTCAACCGACATTTTATATTTCTAAAAACTGTTTAATTTATTACTTTTGTTTGAATTGTTTTTGAAATTTATGACAAAAATTCATCATAGTTTATTTTTTCATTTAGGGACCAACAGGTTTTGGACATAACTGCTATTGTAAACCTTTAATTAAGAGAGTGGAAAAAATATTAGAAGCAGGTAAAGAACAAGTTATCAATTGTGTTGATTACAATCACAGAAACCTAAATGCCCGAATTGAATACTTGGAGCACCAAACAAAAAATCATCTTAACTCATTACATCAGACTATAGAAAAAAAATTAGAACTAGAAAGAAAAGAATGTGTGGGAAGATATGAAAAGCATATCAAGAATAAAAACTTTGTCAATAAATCTATTCAGCCAAAGATGCTAGAATTGCATTCTACATCTCATCATAATTTGGGTTTTTCATTAAATCCTAATTCAGAAAATAAAAATGTACCAAGGTGTAGACATCCAATTCTTTTGGTTCCTTCCTATCAACGTTCAAAATCTGAAGAAATGTTGAGTGAATTAAATGGAATTGATAAATCAAAGTGTTTAGCAGCATCTGAAGATAATTTGTTAGAAAAAGTCAATTTAAATTGTGAAATAGACAATAAATTTCAGTCATATATAAATTTAAATGTCCCTTCAAGAAATTTAGAAAAATTAAAATTGGAATATTTCAGTGATGGAGACTTAATCAATTCTAATAAGAAAGAACAAGATATATATTCAAACAGTAATATGATTGATTTGACAAAAAATTCTAGTCACAATATACAATCAAACCAACAGAATATTAACTCATACTATCAGTCTACAACTTGCATATGAAATATGATATAAATTAAAAAAACATTTCAGAATTATTTTTATTTATATATAAATATTAAATTTTCCTACCTCATCAGGTCATCTGTGTCAAATTTTGTCACAAATATAGAAATAAACATGTTTTAATTGATAGAAATAGCATTCTTTTTTCTTTAAAAAATATATAACATTTACAAATTATTTTACATTCACTATTGAAAATTTGCTATATTTCATGACATTCGTTGAATCAGAATAGCAGATGCTCCACCGCCACCATTACATATACCTGCCATACCATATTCTCCAGGTTTCAAATTAAAAACCATATGGTTAACAATTCTTGCACCTGACATACTAAAAACAGACATTTAAATGTAATTTAAAATCAAAGAATATATGTATATATTAATAATCATTAATAACTCTTACCCTATGGGATGGCCTAAACTTACAGCACCACCATTAATATTTACTTTAGAAGGATCTAAATTCATCTGTTTTATATTGGCTAAAACAACAACACTGAATGCTTCATTAATTTCCCACATTGAAATATCTTCAGTCCTCTTTCCTACTTGCTGTAACACCTAAAATAATTATCAATAAAATATTTTAACATGTTAACAGGTAATTCTTGATACTGGAATTAAGTTATGATTTCACAGTTATAATTTTGAGTTGGAATATTAGTATATTACCATTCTTTCCTAACATATTATATTCATTATTACATCAATAACAATTATTATGCATTTAGTGTTTTTGTGTTTTACAAACAGTAAAGATAATTATTATAAACATTTAGATACATGTTAATATATGGTAAAAATATTTACTTCAAAGAAAATTTGTATTCTAACTGATAAGTAGATTAAAAACTTTTCATAATAAAAGTTTGAACAAATTTCATAAAACATTTGATATTTAAATAGAAAAAGTCATTTGAATTACTTCATAAATTTAATATTGTACACAGTGTAATACTCATATTGTAAATAGTAGAAATGTATGTTTTTGAGTTATGGAAATTCTTGATGATATAACAGTAAAGTTAACAGTTATTAATATGGTTTTAAATTCAGATAGACCAAATATGACTAACTTGTATTTTGTCTTAATTTTATCTGTTTATTTCTTAAACCAGGTCTGGCCAATCCATGGTCCATTCTTTGAGGCCTGCCAAAAATTCTACATTCAGTTAAATATCCAAAAAAGCATAATGTTTGTTTCACTTGATTAAAATAGTTTATTGAAATTATCAATGGTAGAAGTGAGGTAGGTACCTGTCTAAATTTGAACACAATAACCATGTGTATGAAACTTTAAATATAATATTTACCACCAGAGGGCAACCCACTTCACCACACAGAGCCACTTTGCTAGTGCAAAGAGTATTTTATGAATCAATGTTGCCAAGTTATTATATTTTCTATTAAATCTGATATATTGGAATGTTGACCAAAGGTAAATTTATAGAAATTCTTTTATAGATCCAGTTTTTGAAATTGTTAGTGTTCTGGTAGATTATTATGGCAGTTGTATTGGAANTCTTTCTTTTCCTAAGTAATTTAGAAATAATTTTCTAAAAACTTGTGATTAGAAAGTTATTAATCTCCCAGAAGATAATTATCATCTACAATTACAATTTTGTAGATGTACTCAACTTCTGGTTTAAGGAGAAAAAGATATAAGTAAATTAATAAAAATATGTTAAAAATATATTTATATTGTCTGTATTTAATAATAATTATAATAATTAGTGGATAACCTGTGTTACCCATGAGACAAGTCATTTGAAGTATGAATATATTTCATGTTCACAGCACCAATTACAAAATTGATTACAAGCTTTCTTTGCACACAACAATAGGTGCTAAGTACAACAGAACCTAAGTCCTTCTAGATACTTTGGCTCTCAATAAATATCCTTTAACAATTGAAGGAGCATGAATGACTATCAATGTAAAGTGGACACTTACAAAAAGCAAAAAATTGGTGTTAGAGGAAGCCTTGATGGCTGGATGACCAAGCAGTTAAGACGTGAGTATACCACTCAGAAAACCTGGGAATTCAATTGGATTGAAAAATCAAAGAAATTTTTTGAGGGGGTGATCCATTCCAAATATGTCAGGACCTGTCCCTCACCACTCAGTCACTTTATTACACATCTGGCTGAATGCACAATGGGCTTGATAAAAAGTGCCCATGGAGCATAAAAAATAAAAAAAAGGAAAAAAAAATACACAAATTGCTTGTCAGTGAACCTGATAATGAAGTTTGCAAAAAATTTCTTATTGTCTCCCTATATAAAATGACAGAGAGTTGAAAAGTTTGAAATTTTTATCTCTCTGGAACCAATTACAGGATCTAATAACAAAAAGCTAATTGAACATCTGCAGACCCACCCCATCTATCAAAAACTTGTGTTTTGATAGATGGGGTGGCTAATACCAAGATATCTAGGAGTTAGCTAATAAAAACTCCATAATGTAATTTATAAATATAGAACTATACTTAAATGTACAAAACTTCTAAAAATAATTGTTTCTATTATAATAAATATTAATTTGCTAGTACGAATTTTATAGGTATGTTTATAACAAAAATTCAAACAAAACTATCCAAAGTTTTGTTTGAATTTTATTATGCAAGATTATTGGCACCAGGCTAACTCTAACACAACAAATAATCACCTGGCACCAATAATCTTGCAACATGACAATGTTTGTCCACACGCCTAGCGCACAACTGGAGAGGCTCTGTAAAACCTGAAGTTTGAACTGATTCCATGCCCTCCTTATTCCCGATCTTGCGCCTTGCGATTTTTATTTTTTTCCTCTACTCAAGACAGACCTCAAGGGTAATCGTTACACCTCGGATGATGAGGTGAAGGCAGCTGTAAAGTCCTGGATTCGAGAAAAGTCGGAAGAATTTTCCAGTGACGGAATGAAAAAACTTGTTACACGTTGGGAGAAATGTGTTAGCCTTAACGGTGACTATGTTGAAAAATAAATATATGATTTTGAAGCTTAAGAACTGTACTTTAATGTACTTTTTGCTCGATATTGATATTTGTTTTTGTTCATGTTCTACAAGCATGTGCGTATTACTTTTCAGCCTACCCTTGTAGAAATAATACAGAAAGTACAATTATATTATTAACTGAATAGTTATGTAATAAATTATTATTAACACTAACCCATATCTGCATGGATCTAAGAAATTTATATCCAATTCACTTGGACCGAGATTCATAGCAAGATCATTATAAGTCAAGCTTGCATACAATGAGTAAAACTGAGAATCATGGCATATTTGTGCTTTGTGACAAAAAATCTCATACAACTCATATCTTTGAAATTTACTATGTTCTAACAGAATGCAAAATTTATCTTTATATCAGTTTAAATTATATACACTACTAAATTTTATTATATACAGAAAATATTAATAGTGTAAACAAATTTTTAATTACTTTAGGCATTGCATAAGCTGGTGCTATTGGAAAATCTATTGGTTCTACAGCTGCATCAGCAAAACCTAAAAACCAAAATAAATATAAATCAAAATATAGTCACTCATTAAAATTTTTAATGTATATTATTATTTATATTAACTTTTATCACATTAAATATCTCATTAGAAATAATTTAAAATTTAACTTCTAAAACTTATAGTACTACAAAACATTAAGTATGTGATTTATCAATCTAATACAAATATAAACTAAACAATAAATATTTTGTAATTTAGAATAATATAGACTAAAGTTACATTAAAACATTTTTTTTTTTACTTTTCTGAATATTTAAAGAAAAAATTATTATGCATATTACTAATAATAAAAAACTAATCATACATTTTAAAGAAATACATTGTTTCTTTGTTTATGTACAGATTTTAAAAATAACTTCTAAAAACCAATAATTAGAAAGATTTGCTCTCCCAGAAAATAATTAACATCTACAACTGCAACAATATAGATGTACTCAACTTCTGGAGCAAATACACTAAGGATATTTTATCAGCTGTTGTAAGCTTTTTAAAATATTATGCTCTTATTTATTTTAATTTATTATATTAAAATGTAATAATTTTTGTATAACATATGGGCCACACAATATATTGAAAACATGTTTTCTGTAGCATAGAACTTATTTTATGGTTTAGGTATTTTATGGTAAGTTCATCAACTGATTTGAAAGAAATAAATAAAAAATTTTATGAACAAAATGTTCAATTCATACTGTGCATAGGAATGTACAGTACAAATAATAATCAAATAATAGATTACAAATGAAAGGGAGTATCTTCCACCATTCAACATTCAGGTGATTACAAAAATGGATTTTGAAAACAAATACTTTATTTATCAATCATTTACCAACAGGTGATTTTTGAAACCTGAAGCAGTTTCTAATAAATTTATATTTAACAATATAAAACCAAACAGAAAGAAAAAGACATCATATACTTTAGGACAAAGTAATAAAATCAATAAAATCTGGAAAGTGAAATGCCAATGTTTTTTAACCAACAGTAATTTACTAATTTGTTACTAAACAAGTTTATCTTTGTTTATAACATTATTTATATTAATATTTACTATTTATAATTGAAAATAAATAACTAATTAAAAAACTAGATATGTTTTAATTGTAAAAAAATGGTTTTTAATTATTAAATCTTAGAAAGTAATAGGTTCTAAAGCAGTGATGATCAATCTTTTCTTGGTATGAGCTGTAAGATATGAATATAGTTTATCATTCATGTAACAATATGCTTTTATGTTTTTAACAATTGTATTTACAGTTTAGCATATATTAAAAAGATTATGTAACAAAACCACCAAAAGACAGATTTATATGTATGTAATAAGCCAAACAACTACCAGATTACATTGGGCTACTTTTCCACAATTATTTTTAATTAATTGCTTTTCTGCAATTAATTAAAAATAATTGCATCATGCAAATATGATGTTCATAAAAAATATAAGTTCAACAAATTTTTTTAAAATCATTGCTCTTCAGTAGGTCTTTAAAAGTTAAATATTATTCTGAAAGTTTTTATTCTAAAGTAAGTTAAATCAAAATATTCAAGAAAGAAATATATCTTTCATATATTACGTTTGAGATTTTTTCACCTAATCAGTATTTAATAGAGATTTTTTAGAAAATAGACCTTTTTGTATGAAGTTGATAATTCTTACCTATAATTCTTGCTAAAGGTTTCACTTTGTATTTTTCTGCAGCTTTAGAAGTCATCAAAACACATGCAGCTGCACCATCATTAATTGTGCTAGCATTTGCTGCTGTTATTGTTCCTAAAATTTTTATACATGTTTAAATATAAAAGTAAATATAAATTTTAGATTATATAATAAAAATAGATAATTGACATATTTACCAAATGCAGTTTTTATTAAATTAATAAAACATTAATAACAAAGAAAACATTTCTAAAAACTTCCTATAACAATTTTAATAGCGAGGTTGAGGCTGAAGTTTTAAATGCAAAAACGTGTACGTTGAACGTTCAGCACCGCTTTCCTGTAAGCCTAGAAGTTTGACAACAGTGTTTGGATACTAAATGGAATCATACTCGACATTCCAAACACCATTGTCAAACTTCTAGACTTACAGGAAAGCGGCGCTGAATGTCCAGCATACACGTTTTCGCATTTAAAACTTAAGCATCAACTTCACTAATAATTCTTCAATTATTTCTTTAAAAAAACTGCTAATTAAAAAAAATTAATGTAAAAATTTTCACTCATTAAAAAGAATAAAGAAAGCCAAACTTAATAGAAAGCATAAGCACTATATTTTTTAAAATTGAAAACAATTTGAGATTTTTATTTTACTAAAATATAAATCGAGAACTAGTAATATAAGATTAGAATATTTATATATTAAAATCAAAAATTATTTCCAGAATATTCCATTTGTTTGTATGATTTATATTCTAGCAAAGTAAATTCTGATTTTTTCACAAATAGAAAATGAAATATAGGGGGAAATGAAAAGTAATACTTCTTTATTAATAATGATTTGTGGAATTGTTCTTTGTTACAAAAAGTAAATGGCCTGAAGTGAAGCAAGAGTGCTGGAAGCATTATGGCTACACTATTATGTCATTAAACAGTTGCTACCATCTAGCATACACATCTGAGTGAAGAGAAGAAAATGGCATTTTTAGATGATTTGTTTTCTGTGGGTGATGGGTAAAAAACCATTGGACAATCATGTTGAAACAGTAAAGACTGTCTGGACATCTCCAATATCCACAAAATGGTGCAAAATGTTTGAATAAGGTAATCTGTAATGAATAAGTCTGTGGTGCCTGTTAAGTGCTGATACTTCAGAAAAAAATCATTGCAGTGGAAGGTGTGTGTTAAAAAAAATGTCTTATTCATCTGATCCTGTCCAGAAATGCTTTAAAAGATTAAGAGTGAAACTCTTAATCTTTTAAAGCATTTCAATTAATCTATTAACTGGTTTACAAATTTCTCACCTGTGTATGAATAAACCAGTTTCAAGTTTTATTAATATAATTGGTTTTTCCATTACAAATTTATTTCTACTTGTTCAGGCCATAATTTTACATTTTAAAACATACCTCCTTCTCTCTGGAAAACAGTTGGAATAGATCGTACTTTTTCAAAATTGACTCTCTTATATTCTTCATCTTCTTTGACAACTGTATCTGGTTTACCTTTCTTTCCTGGTATTGTAACAGGAACTATTTCCCTTTCAAACAAACCTGACTAAAAATTTAAAATATATCAGAATAAATCATTTACATTAATTTTCTATTAAAAATAAATTTCATTTAATAGATACATTTATATATTAACAAAATACAAACCTTAACCGATTCTGCTGTTTTTTTGTAACTATTAATTGCAAAATCATCCTGTTCTTCTCGTTTAATATTGAACTTTTTTGCAGTATTTTCAGCACAATTACCCTAAAAATTTAATTCTTCCTTTAATTTCTTATTTTTATTTATCATTAGATTTTCCAAATGAAAAATTTTCATACCATATGAATTTTCTTATAAGCATCTGTCAGGCCATCATATACAAGACTATCCTGAAAACTTTCAAAAATTAACAAAAACTCATCCATTTATTTTAAAACTTTAAACAAAATAACAAATTAACCATATGAAACAAAAATTTTGAGATATAAAATTATTAAAATAAAACAAAACCTCAATTTTAGTTGATTTCTTCTTGATTTAACACAAAATTACTTTGATCCTTCTTGCTTAATTAATGAACATGATAAATTCACACAAAAGCTTTACCACTTATCTTTGTTTACATAGCTTCATACATAAATTGTAAAAATATGGTGTGTTGGTATTACAGTTGATTCCATTTAACTGGGGCAGCCACTTTATTGGGCCTAATCTCAAAGAACAGAATCCGAACTAATAAATTAATACATAATTGAAATGCTTAATTGGAACAGTAGCAGAAAAGGAATTCAGCAATTTTTGATATATTTTAGGGGTTCCTCCGAATATAGGTCAACACTACATACACTAATGTCATATAGGCTTAACAATTGGCAGAAAGAAAACAATTTTGTCTTCCCTCGGACAATTTAGTTTTTCCAAGAGTCAGCATTGTGAAGCCCGGATCTAACGAAATTAAAGAAAATTTTTTTTTCTCTAAATTTTTCCATCTTTTGAAATTTTGTTAACCATAAACAGGAATGATCACATTTCCTTCCCTGAGTCAGTTCCTTCCCCAGAGGACTTAGAGAATGTGTCATGGGGAAGTAAAGGAGAAAAATCATGATTGGCGTAAAAAGATAGCATGATGTGGGGGATAAAAGGGAGAGACATGCAAACCAAAGGATTGATAGTGTCCAAGAAGAACTTATGGTGTGTGCGAGAGAAAAAGAACCTGACCACCTGCTGATGACCCTCTGGAACCTGGAATCATCAGCCTTCATCCGATTACCCGATCACCTTGATGAACCTCACCCCCTGTAAAGATCCGCCGCTCCGTACAAGGAATTGAAGAGGTATGATAAAGAACTAATGTAAACTCTCTCTCGGACCATCCTATGTGTATTAGGAAGCTAGGGTCCCCAGTCTTGGTTAGAATTTGTAATTGTGTTTAAAATGTTTAATAAAAGTTGTTTCTTTGTTAAATGGTGTCCATTTACATATATATTGCCAGTGCCTTACCAACAACCTCACCCACCTCCTCCACTCAAGTTAACCGAAACCGGAAGTTAAAGTAGATAAGCCATCTATAAACAATCTATAAACAGGCTTAACGGCTTGTTTGCCGACCAAAAGTAAAGAGGTATGACTTCATCCTACCTCACAGGCTATCCACAGCATAGTGAGATGTAATACACCGGGATTCCATCTGAGGTGGACCTGAATGAGAGCTACTGACTCTGCTCTGGATTGGACCGAATGATCTCCTTAGAAGCGAAAGGACAAAGACCACCTGAACAATTTTTCAGTCTCTTGACCAAGTTGAAAGACATCTAGAGTTCTCTTGGAAGGAGTTGTGTGCATGATTATGTCTAGACTCAGACAGCAGCCATCTGATTGTTGGGACCAGCATCCAGAGATGGCAAATTCTATGTATGCTCCCGCCGAAGTGGACCATCTCCAGGTAAAAGAAACTGTGCTCAAAGAAAGGCCTTAATTAAGGTGACTTTTGGACAAATCCAGACATGTTCTAACTAAAAAGGGAGAAAGGAAAGATTGTTCGATCAGGAATGGATCGAATAGTCAACCCTTGTGTACGACACTACTAATATTTGGCAACATATTTGTGATGCAAATCAGTTATCTATCGTTATGAGTCTGGCAAATTTATAATAAAATATTTTCTGCATTTTGGTTTAATAAAGCATTAAAATATATACCTAATTATTATTTTTTTACCTACATATTACATATTTTATTTTAAATTTATTATTAGTTCGTTTTATTGGGGCAGCCACTTAATTGGCCAAAATGGATTAGTCCCAACATGTCCCAATTAAGCGGAATTGACTATACTTATAAAAATAATAATGTTTTTTTGGTCATTAATTTAATATGAATAATTTGTTTATTAACTTATGCATCATTTACCTTTAACTTTAAAATACAGAATAATAAATCTGATTAATTACCTTAAAATTAAGTAAATGAGGTTTTATTATTTCTTTAAAAAGTGTTTTAAATATGAAAAGACCCAAAACCAAAGATAAACAAGAAATTAAAATTCTATAAATAAAAGATATAAATTTAATTTAGCAAAGATTCTTAAATGCTTTCTATTCAGAAAATTAAATTTGAAATAAATTTAATGAAAAAGGATTAAGCAATAGATGATGATAACTGTTAAGGTGTTATTGCAACCAAGTTTTGATATTTTATAGGAAAGTATTTTCCCTACTTGATATTTTAAAAATGCTTTGAAAATTCAAAGTTTATTTTTTTTAAACACTAACCCTAAGAAGAGATTCTGCTCTCTCCTTGGGCAAGAACACCTTCACATGTATGCTGAACTGAAATGATATCCATGCATTTTTATGAAATATTGACAAATAACTGTAAATAAACTTTGTTCATATACTGTGAATTGTTTTGCACAATATGTCCACTTACAAGAAGATTTACACCTCCATATGGAGTATCTCCTCTAGGTAAATAATATGGAGTATTGGACATACTTTCCATTCCCCCTGCTACCATAACTTCCTAATGAAAAAGAACAAACAAAAGATACATTTTAAATTTTGAGAAATACATACAAAAACAATATTAATTTGATTAATGAAATAAACAGACCTGATGTCCTAACATCAAATTTTGTGTTGCCAACATGATAGCTTTCATTCCTGAAGCACAAACTTTATTAATTGTTGTGCAAGGAGTAGATATTGGAAGACCTAAATACAATAAAATGCTTATTTCACATATAAACAATAATATATTTAAGTAAATCAAAGCAAATTTAAGAATCTTTTCCACTACAGAATTATACACAATATGCAAAATATTCAATAAAATGTTCTAATAAATCTTTTTGAATGATAAAAATATAGTATTTATTTTTGTATAACATTTTATATAATATAGAAAATATTATGAGAATTGGATGCTTCAAAGTAATAGAATGTTAACAGAGTGAATAAAAAATTTTAAATTAATTTCAGGTTATTAAAGGAATTCTAATTTGGTATTGTCAGTGTTTTAAAAAAACTGGATTCTGTTTTTAGTTTAAGAAATATACATTTAAGAAAATCACCAAATAATGTCTCTAACTGAAAAGGGGCCAAAGGACCAGAAATGCATTTTGGACCTGTATTAATGATGATAGAGTATGTTATTGAATCAAAAACACCTCAGAAAATTGTCAGTGAGATAAGCCCTGAACAAGTGTGTGTAATAGCACAAATATTATTATACTGAGTTAAAGGGCAAAAAGCATTAATAATAATATTATAAGGTTTGATTATATTTATAATTATTTACTTTGATATCTGAAATTAATATCAATGTCTTTCTGGAAAATAATTATGAGATCAAATTTCAATCTTTTTGTTTTTGTGCAATAGCTGAACACAAATAAACCAAAGAACAATATTATATTAAAATTTTTTAAAAAGAAGCATTCTTCATTCAAATTTCTGTTATATTCTTTATTTAAAACTGATGTATTTAAAGATGAAACAGTTGTCTTGAAAAACATTTAATACTGGATAATAGCGGACTTCTTTAACTCAATTAGCATTAGTTTTTGCTTGTTAACAAAATGAACCAAAACTTGGATAAGGAGCTGAACACAAATACAATTATTATTATTCTGGACAGAGTCCAGAAACATTTCTTTTTTGATTTGATTTATAAGTCATAATATAAAAATATTTCAGAAAAGTTTCTTTTTATAACAAAATTCTTTTTCTCCAAGAATCACTCATCCCTGAGAGAAGATATAAGAGAGAGAAATGACAAAGTAATTTGTATAAATTAATTATATACAGACACTAAATCACTTCATAAATATTAACTTATTACAAGAAACTGTCTCTAAACTGATTATACTCTAAAAGTGAATGTAATTCAGATAATAACATAAAATTAATACCTGCTCCTAGAGCAGCTTGTCTAGCAGGTGCCTGTCCTGTACTTCCTTGTAATACTTGGCCCATATATACTTCTTGAACTGCATCTTTTGGAATACCTGAAAATTTTACAGTTCTCATTTGATTTTTTTCATTTTCCAATTATATATAATTTAGTTACTCATAAAAATAAATATTTTATAAAAATATATTTTATGTTTTAGAATACAATTATATAAATATACCTGCTCTTTCAATAGCAGCCTGAATAGCAATAGAACCAAGTTTAGGAGCAGATAAAGGAGCAAGAGAACTTCGAAATGATCCAATTGGAGTGCGAGCAGCAGAAACAATTACAACTTCCTAAAACATATTAAACAAATGTAAAATGCTATTTCTTGAATTTAACACAGTGTTTCTCAACTTTTAAAACCCAAAACCAATAAAATATCTGAAAAATTCTATGGACAAGTTATGTAGGCCTAATTCTTTTTAAAGTTATGTTGGCATTACCCACATTTGTAATAGATATATTGTGTCATTTATAGCATAATAAATCCAAAACCATGTTTTGAATATATATAGAAAGATAATTAATTAATATGAAAGTAAGCTATTAAAAGTGAATCATCACTGAACAAAATTCAATTTAATTAAATTAAGTCTGTTGCAGACCACTGTTCCATCATTGAGACTACAGATTTAGAAACACTGTTTGAACCTGCTGATTAATCAGTAATTAAAAAAATGATACACTTTTGCCATAATCCAGCATTATTTTTCTTATTTAATCAAAACTAATATTTTCAGCCCAATTTATACAATAATATATCTATTAAGCTAAAAACATTAATTCTGATCATATATACAACAAATATCAACCCTGTTTAATTAAACTTAAATAATTCAAATTATGCAATTAAAATAAGTACAGTCGACCCCCCTATAACACGGTAGATACGTTCCACTTTATAAGAATTTCACATTGTAGGAATCCTCAAATACATGAGCCAATCACAGCCCAGCACGTGTGCAGTTTACGGACTACGGCTGTTTGGAAGGTTTTTTCCATAAAATTAATCGATTCTAGACTAATTTCACTCAACATTTCCAAAACACATATAATTTTTTGGGAATAATCTGTATAAACTATGCTATAAACAAAAAATTGTAAGATTACTTACTGAGTGTGCACCGTTCAACCACGCCATTGCTTAAGCTTGTTTTCGTCGCGGAGCAGCGCACCAAACGGCGGCTGCGTTTCCTGATAAGTTATTTTTCTGCGGAAAATTTGTTGAACTTTGGAAACATCATTAATAGAAATAATTTTTATGACCATTGAATAAGAAATGTTTTTTCACAAGAAACGTATAAAATTTCAGTACTGTATTAGACTTACAGTACCTAATTTAGGCCTATATACTGTACAGACGATAGTAAACTCAACTTACCTGCCTAAACTCTCCGTAGCGTGTAAGTAGTTCGGCTGCTCGTCCACTATTGATCCAGATTCGACTAATCCCGTCATGACACAAGTCGGCAATGACGTTTTACTGCATTTTATGAGTCTCTTTTACCGTCCTTATACAAATACGGTCACAATTTTTTCACCGCGATACACGAATCCGCATTATATGAACCAACGTTATAGTGGGGTCTACTGTAATTGCTTTTACAGTTTTTCTCATTTGAAATTTTTTTTTTCTTTCCAAAATTTCTCTTAGATTTGTTGCTAATAATACTGGATTATGGCAAAAGTATGTCCTTTTTTTTATTACTTTAATTTAGTGGAGACAATCCATACCAGCCTAGATCCTGAAAAATCTAATAGAACAGAAATAAAATCTTTAACTTAACCACATTATATTTAAAATTGTTTATGTATAATTACTGACTGAGCACATAAGTTGAAGCTTGGCTTTGTCCTCTGAATGTCCTCTGTGACTTTGAAGTGTAAACTTGAGTTTAGACTTCAAAGTTACAGAGGACAGACATTTATTATAGTGTATTATTGCATAAAGTGTAGAAAAAATATATAAAAAGTGTCAAATATTTTTACATTTGTTTGGCATGAAATCATTTAAGGTGTTAGAAGATAGTCCTGTTATTTAATAGCCATAACTTGTACACAAAATTAAAATATATCATGCAAAATTTTAGCTAAACATTTAAATTCCTGAACTTTCTTTATATTTATACAATAATTAAAGGCAATTATATTTTAAACAATATTGATTTTAAAAATATTATTACCAGTATTATTTGAAATATTCTAATTTTGTAGAACATTCCATATTATAAAATATTATTCTGTATTTATCTAACATTAAATATAATTGATATAAAATTACAATAATTTTTATAATTTAAAACTTTCAACTGTTATACTGTACTTACATTAATAGATGCACCTGCACTATATGAATTGGAAAATATTTTTAAAACCTGTAAAATAAGACATAAAATTAAATAAAATATAATTTAAAATATATTGGGACAATGTCACAATAAATACAGTAGAGCGTCGATTATCCGAATCAATTGGGGACTGGGGTTGTTCAGAAAATCAATATTTCGGATAACCGATTATGTATGAAAAAATATATTAACCTATCCCATGTTGAAATTTTTCTCCGTTGCATGTCGCTTTGCATTGAATTTTCATCGATGTTAAGGCTAACGAAGACTATTGTATCATTAAAAATTATTTTTTTATTTTCTACAAACAAAATAAATATATTGAAAAATATAAAAACAATAAAAAATTATACTTCAGAAGTTAATTTAGTATCAAAAACGTAAAATATTTGAGTAGCCCAAGACATAGCCAAAGATTGCAGCGCCACAGCACTGGCGAAAATTTAAATTTGCCGACTGGAATTCTTTTGGATGATTGACTTTCGGATAATCGACGCTCTACTGTATTCTGATTTCTATAACAACATTTGTTTTGGAACATTTTAAACTTTGAATTTTCCTAAATGTCTGGTGTGCAGGCTCATACATAAAGAATTACAAATAAACTATACATACATATACTACATGAATAAATACATAAATAAATAAATACATTAACACAACTGCTAGTAAAGAGAAGGTCACCATTGTTCCTGCTTCTTTATTCATCCCTTTTTTATAATAGAATATTTATATTATACCTGCTCTCCAAGCCACTGAGACTTTACTCGACTCTCTGAAGTTTATTGCTAATCCTTCCTGGTTTGTCTTATGTATCTGCCATGCTTCTGAATATTTCAGATGTCTCTTGTTCTGCATCTTTTGTACTATTTTAGCTCTTTCCCAATGCACTATGACTTCTCAGTATTAGTTGTGTCAAGGTGTGAGTATTAGTTGAGTGCAGTTAGAGAAGAGTGTAAAAATATGACAATTATGCTATTGAAATTTCTTTCTTATTGTATATTCCATATAAAAAATGTTTGGACAAAAATTTTTTGCCAGGATTTTTTTTTTATTTTACATGTTACAATTTATTTGACTGGTTAGTTTTCATTCTCTTTGATGGGATCATCTAGCTATTTCTGCAATTAACTTTTTGTGTTATCTATAATGTATAGCATACTTTCATAATTGCATTTGCTGGTGCTGTCTTGGTTAGATCTCTTTTTTTAAAAAGAGATCTAATCAAGATTCTTAGAGTATTTCTATCCCTCATTTCATTAAATTCTACCTTCCTAACTTCTGGGCTTGGAGGTCAGATTGATCTGAAATTTTTGATGTTGATACTCTTAACAAGGCTTATTATACCATTTTGCTTCCTTGCTTTTTGTTTGCTTAGTAATTTCTTTATATTGTTTGTGTGAATTCTTAGCTGACTGCAGAACTTGTCAATCCATTAATGTTTCCTGTACTGCGACTTCTTCTGTCCAGATAAAGTACTTTTAGTTTTTGTTAAGCCCTTTTTCAACATCTATGCCATGAAAAAGGGTTAAACATATTTTCAACAAATTGCTGAAGATGTCATATTTTGCTGTATCTGCTTGGTTCCTTCTGTTGAATACTTTAACTCAATAGTGGTTAATCCTCTATAGTACAGTGATACATGCTCCTTGATCATTTGTTGTTGGAATTCAATGTCCGAGTCATCATCATGGCTTCATCATCGGGAAATTCTTTACTAGAATTAGAATGCAATCTGGCATACAGCTTCTATACAACATTCTTTATCTTATTGACAGATGCAGTACCTGAAGATTATGAAACAGTATTTTTCACTGCACAGTAATTTCAGACAAAACTTTTGCATAAGAGAATAAATCTTCCTTTTCAGTCTCTGAAATCTTTTCTTTTGAAAGAGAGAATCCAATTTCTTTTGTACATCAAGACCAATGTCAATGATCTTAAGAATGTTATTTGTCTGTTTTAAGCTTATATCATATAACTAGCATTTTTGAAATCAGTAATTACTTTGAATTTAAGGAACCTTCACATTAAGATAAATATTAGAGATGACATTTCATCATATAAAATATGAATTAGGAACGCTTTCTTTTGCATTAACTTTGTCATTCTGGTAAAAGCTTATCTCTACTTTTAAGAGTTTATTTAATAGGATGCTACATACATCAATTATATGATTTCTCTATCTATCTTTCTCAGTTAACTTAAACAAAACTTGGAACTGGGAAAACAGCATAAACACGTAATCATTAATATAGGAGTGAATTTCTATTTTACATTAAAAAATAATAAATAAATTAATATATTTCCTTTATTTAACAAGTAAATAAATTGATATTAAAATTAAGATATGAAGTTTGATTTATTTGATTTACTTGAAGCTTCTTCTCCCTTAATTGATGTTTCTTAAATCATATAATTTGATAAAATAAGAACTTATCATACAGGAACATACAGTAATTACTTTATAAAATTATTATATAATAATATAAAATTAAAAATACCTCCAAGAAAACCCCCATTTTTAAAGATATCTACTTCATTTACATTTTTACATATTTTATTAAACTTGACGTTGATGGCAAGAAATTTAATAATTTTACATTATTTATTAACAAATATTTTAAAAACTTTGTATTTTTCTTTTGACTTTGCTTAGAATCAATGTCATCTTACAGAATAGCCTGCAGCCGAAGAGGGGCTTGGACCCAAAAAAGCATTCTGCATAATAACTATTTGAACTTAATTTGTCCATCTCTGTAAAATATGTTTCTGTGTGATAATCCTATTTCCTTATTTTAATCCTATGTCCTTATTTTATTAAATGCTATGATTTAAGAAACATTTTGATTTATTTGTTCTATAATTTAAAAAAAATATTCTCTACATTTATATTTTGATTATTTTTACATGATAAAATATTTATTTCCAATCAAAAATATTTATTTGTAATCTAAAATTTTTTTCAAATTAAATTTAAAAGTTATTACTTTTGGAAGAATCAACAGGTTTTAAATAAAAGTCATATTATCATCATTATTATTATTTTGTCATATTATAATACTAACTATATTTCAAAATATAACTAGCTGTGCCTGCAGTTTTGACTGTGTGGAATTCAGTTTGTGACTATAACAGTATCAGTTAGATGATATCTTTTAATTTATATGAATGTTTTAGGAACACATATAAGACAAAAGATATTNGAACATAATTGTTCTGTTTCATTTCCTTTTCAATGGTCTTTTACACAGTGATATGTAGGACTTACAGCAATGGTCAGATGAAATTTTTTTACTGAATTCATTGAATTATATCATAGTTATCCTTACCCATAGAAAGTTAAGTTAAAAGATTACAGTGATAGAGATCAAAAGAATCAAGTATGTGTCATTCTGGTAACTAACAATAATAATTTCATATAAGTATTCATATCCATTTATAAAAAATTTCGCCAATCTTCAGGTTCATAACGTAAATCGTGAAGCAAATTCACATGAATGAATCTTCCACTCTCGAGCAACCATCTTCTATTAATAGCTGGATGGCTGAATAGTCAAGGAGGCAGCCTACCACTCTGGGGATTCAGGATCAACTCTGGACAGGTCCTATCATATTTATCTGTTGAATTTGTACATCAGTTTAGACATTTAGTCTTATCAACATATTATCGTCTTCAAGTTATGCAATATTAAATTTTGCTCAAAAATAGGATCAATCATATTTCTATTATTCTTTATGTAGTTTTTAAACATTTAATAAACAGATTAATATTTAAAAATAAATCCTATTCTATAGTCACATACAGAACTACAGTATTATATTAAAGATATTTACTGTAACTAAAACTACAAAGATATTATTTATTGATTATCAGATGAATTCTATAAATTCATTTTTGTATCTGATAAAACCTTAAAACTTCGAACAATTCTTATTAAGTTCTTTTAATTTTTTCTATATATCATCAAAATATATTTTCATATACCATCCAAATATTTTGAAATTTCTCCTATTTTATATCTTGGATACATGACTTGAGAATGACCACGAAGTGATGATAAAAAATGTTTTTTCAATTAAACAAAGAAATAACAAGGTGTGTTTCTCTACAGAATTTGAAAACAAACTTCAAGTGTAAAATTATTACCATATTTTTGTGAAAAGACCAGTATGCTGCACATAATGGCATTGAAATGAATAAAGACAGATGGTGTCGTAGAAAATGGATTGGCTACAGGAGTCAACAACCTTTCAGCGGTGTTGTGCTGAACATCAGTTATAGTGTTATTCCGAGTGCCAACATGATTCTACCAAGTTTATCTATACTAATATTATAAAGAGGTAATGTTTGTATGTAAGTTTGTTTGCAGCAGGTAATCTCCGAAACTACTCATTCAATTTCAAAAATTCTTTCACCAATATTTAGAATGGAACTTCAAGGTTGACATAGACTGTATATTATTCCGTTAAACATTCATATAAATTAAATTATATCATCTAGGGTTAAGGCTTTTATGTCCAACAGATGGCGCTACGAGTACGACACCCTAAGTTTGCTTTTCTGTGAGGCATTATGCTTTTCTGTGAAAATGAACTAAAGCAAATCATCTTCTATCTATTTATATAAATAAAAATGTAATGTTCATTTGTTCCTACCGATTCCTTTGAAATTCTGACACAACGCTGCATTCGAATATGCACGTGTTTTTATATAATATACATGTCGAATTCCCCACCAGGAGATGGACGGGATTAAGGCTTACCGTAAAGAACTCTGCTTCTATTTATACTATTTTAGATGGGTTTTTGCGTTTTTGATTGCGTTTTAGTAAGGTACGTCAAGAGAATGTACAATAAGAAGAAATTTTTCGAAAAATTCCCCCCACGGGGGAGTGTTATAAATTTATAATAGATACATTTTGAGCCACAACGTGTGACGGGGTCTGCTAGTTATATATGTAATCAAAATTAGTCTGGTTATAACTGACTTCAAAAATGTATTATTTTGAAATTGTTAATTGAAT